ACATTCACACCCCATGGCCCCATAGGACAGATGCTCGTGTTTGCCATGTTGACTCCATCTGCCCACTTAGAGATGGACCTGGAGATGCGTGAACCAGGCTGGCCTCCAACTCCCAGAGAGCTGCCTGCCTCTGCCTCTGGAGTGCTCCACCAGGATGGGCTGGGGGCAGAAAGCAGTGCGAGAGTTAATGCACGCATGCACTCTGAGCTTTCTGTGGCCTTCCCATCCAGTCCAGGGCCAACCATGAATGTAAGCCCATACTCAGGTGCCCTTCCCACCTCAGCTACCCCAACTAATAAAACCCCTCCCAGACACAGCTACAGGCCAACCTAGTCTAGACAGTCCCTCATCAAGTCTCCATTGTGTCAAGTTGTCGATTACAACAAACCATCACCAGGACATTATGCCCATTTGGCCAAAATTGAGAATCAGAGAGGTTAAGTAACTTGCTTAATTTCACTCACTGTGGTTTTTCAACCTGGGCCACACCTGACCCCATCAAATTATATAACATACCCCTTTTCCTCTTCATCTTTCCTTTCCCAAGTGCATGACAGTGGTCACTTGGGCGACTGGAGAAGTTGGAAGCAGTTGGAGTGAGGCGGGCAGGCCCGTGGTGAACAGTCCTTAGCTGTTGAACGTGAATGAATGAGTCTGAGCGTAATGGAGCTTCTACTTATGGGAAAATAACGAGGGCAACGGATCGCACAAACCTCGATCCGAGTCATGGAAAACACATTTAGGAGGAAAGGACACCAGGGGCAGGTTAGGGTGCGAAGGAATATTGATGGAGTTTCCTTCCAAACTCTTTGTAATGTGATTGGTTTGTGTAGGGAAAGCCACCCACGCCTACGTCACAGTTCTGTGTGGTCATGGTGGGGGAGGCTCTTTTCTGTTCCACGCTGCTGTTTTATCTTCCAGTGTCCAGCCACATGCGCCTGGCATATTGTGGATGTAATTAATGTGAGTGTTGGACGGGCGCCCATTGGGAAACTTCTCAAGAAGGGCTTGGCCCAGGAACATGTCTGCAGAGAGCTTCCTCAGCTGGGCTCTCTGAGCAAGCTCTTGCCTGGGGTGTGGTACAGGGTCAGCTCTCCTGGCACAACCTAAAAGGGCTAGCCAGGTGTGGGCACCATTCTGGTTATTCAGTAAAGGCGGGGTGTGGCTCCAGGGTAGCATTCAGGAGAGCCTGGGATTGATCCTCAATGCTGTAAGGTGGGGGTGGGGCAGAAGGCAGGAAGGCTGGCCTGGCATTACCCTATCAGTATGGGAGCTCAAACTCCAGCTCAGAGGCACTGTTCTGCATTCTTCTTGGAGTTTTGTTTTGTTTTGTTTTAGTTTGGTTTTTCAAGACAGTTTTTCTCTGGGTAAGAGCCCTGGCAGTCCTGGAAGCTGCTTTGTAGATCAGGCCGGGGATTAAAGGCGTGTGCAACCACCATCCAGCTTCTTAGACTTGTAAACTCGAGGGCTGGGCATTGCAGTTTGTACCCTTACTCTGAGGAGGCTCAAGGTCAGCCTCAGTTACCTGAGACCCTGCCTCAAAGAAAAAACAAAAAGCAAAATTAAGAAAAAAGAACAGAGCACCTTGATAGCAGTGGTTCCACAAAGCCATTATTGAGTGCTGAGTAGAGACCAGGCTACACACCTTTACAGCTGTTCTCGTAAATTAATCTTCACAGCTATAAGGATTAGCAACTGTTACCAACTCCATTTTGATGCTAACAGACAAGGAAGAGGTGTTTGGCTTAAGTCCTGGTGTTCCTAGGAATGTTCCACAGATCACAGGGCTTCTGCACCGTAGCTCCCTTGTCTGCAGAGCAGCTGGCAGCAGTGGACGCTTCCTCTGTGCCACGCTCTAGCTCCACAGGCTGCACGCAGCCCCTGTGACATTAGCAGAGCCGAAGGGAGCCAGGCAAGAGCAGGCCCAGTGGTGAGGAATGGGAGGCCTGCTTTCCGGAAGGAAGGAAGGTCATACCACCCACAGGACAGGAGAGCACTCCTCTAAGTGTAAAGTCATGGAGAGCGTCCTTTTAAGTTTGTCGAAATTGCAGAGTGGGAGCTGAAGAGATGGCTGAGCAGTTAAGAGCATTGGCTACTCTTCCAGGGAACTTGGGTTCAGTTCCCAACACTCACAATCACCCGTAACTCCAGTTCGGGGGGGGGGGGGGTCCAGTGCCCTCTTCTGACTTCTGTAGGCACACAGTACACAGACATACATGGAGGCAAGACACTCACACATGTAAAAAAATGTTTTTAAAATTGCTGAGTGAATCAAATATATGTCGAGCACCCATAAGCCCAGCACTCAAGAGGCAAAGGCAGGTGGATCTCTGTGAGTTCTAAGCTAGCCCCAGTTACATAGCGAGACTCTGTCTCCGGGAAATAAATAAAATTGCTGATGGATTGTTACATAACAAAAGGATACCAACAAAAGCTCCCATCCTTTAAACCGAGAGCTTAGACTCTGCTCATGAGGTGTGGCCCTGACACTTGGTAGGGATGGCTTTGTTCAAAGTTAGAATGATGGTCATGGATCGAATACAACATTTGGATTGGACTGAATGATGAAGAACAGGAAAGCCATGAGAGCAGAGCAGAGCTCTAGAGATGAGGATGCAGGAGGACCGAGGGTACAGCATCACTTGGGAACCCCCCCCCACACACACACAAAACATATACATGCTAATCCAGAACCTGTGTTAAAACCGTTTCCAAGAAGCAATTCCTCCATCCGATCTTGGAGGAGATCAGAAAACCAGATAGCGTAAGTGACTCCCACCCGAGGACTTCCAGAAAGCTTCGGGAAACAGGCTCTTGCCTTTCAACACCAGGGTTGGACTTGGCCTAGCAGAATAAACCTGCTTGGTTTCATTGAGTTCCTTTTGCTTTGGGTCTGCAAAGCCCCTGGCTGTCCCATCACTCTTGGTTCTCAGGCAGTGTGGGGCGTCTTCCATGGCCACAGAGTTTTTATCATTCCTTTTGGAGGTGAGAGCGGCTAGAGAAAGGGCATTGCCTGGCCTAGCCCCAGGTCCGCTGGACCACCTTGAAACTTGCCAGTGAGTCGCGAGCGAGCGCCACAGTTGCTATGGCCACCCACGAGCTCTTAGGGCGGCCTTTTCTGCCCAGGTGGGACCTGCAATCGCCTGGTTAGCATCTGGAGAAAGCCCAGTGGGACTCTGAAGCTGGCTAACTACATGCTTTAACTGTGCACGGAGTCCAAGTGAACTTCTCATTTACCTCAGACCTCTGCGGGCTCAGCAGGCCACATATAGTTAGATAGAACTTCCAAGAATATTTAAGGAAATTAAATATATTTTTCTTTCTTTTGGGTTTTCAAAACAGTGTCTGACTATGTAGCCTTTGCTGACCAGGAACTTGATAGATAGACCAGGCTGACCTAGAGATATGCCTGCTCTTGCCTGCTTGCCTCCAGTGAGTGCTAGGATTAGCTATTATTTTCTGGTTTTATGAGAAAGGAGAGCAAAAAGATGACTTTGGAAAATTAAACACCTCCCAACCAGGACTGATAAAAATGTGTGTTTGAAATATTAGGAAATGGAGCTGGAGAGATGGCTCAGTGGTTAAAACACTTCCTGTTCTTCCAGAGGATCTGGAAGATTCTTAGCACCCAGATGGCAGTTTACCACTGTAACTCCAGTTTCGGGGGGATCTGACGCCCTCTTCTGGCCTCCGCAGGCATTAGACACATACGTGGTGCAGACATATGTGCAGGAAAAAGTCTGGTTTCAGTTAGTAGATTGTCTAGCTTGCAGGAAGCCTTGGGTCCCATCCTTAGCACTTGATGTGACAAGCCTCAGGACCAAGGGCTGCCCGTCAGTGTCTGCAGAGATAAACAGAACTAACCCTCTACCGCAGAGAGCCCGAGAATCAGTGGCACACGCGCCGTGCGCAGTTAGGCGGAAGAAGTGGAGAGCGGCAGAAGAGCTGCCCTCCCGCCACCTGCCCTCCCGCCACCTGCCCTCCCGCCACCTGCCCTCCCGCCACCTGCCCTCCCGCCATCTGCCCTCCCAGCTCCCACGCCTCTCCGCTGAGCGCTTCTGCCTGGTCCCTGCCTGCCGGATCCCTGCCTTGTCCCGTCGAGACCGGCTTTGAACTCTTTGAACACAGAGGTGACCCGTGGGTGGAGCCAGAAGTGGCCTTTAGAGTCCTGCCGTGTGACCTTGGGTCTTTCCCCAGCTCCTTGGAGTTTAGAATGAGAATGACTGTCACTCACGAAGGGTTCTTGTGTGAAATATTTATGGAGCAGTCCATGAACAAGGTTTGGGGTTCCGCAGAGGGAGAATGCCTTGTGTTTGTAAGTTATCAGGAAGCTGGATTGCAGGAAGTTGCCTGCACCGTCCTGCTTCCAAGTTCTTGTGTGTGTTCCCGGTGGTGGGGTGGTTGTGGCGTTGGTGGCAGCCGGGATTGTCAGGAAGCAGCAGGCAGTTTCCGGATGATTAACTCAGTTCCTGGAGCGCCCTCCCTAGCAGTCTGGGAGCCTGACCACTAGGCCCCTCTAGGCCGGGCTTCCTCCCTAGCCTCTCCACGCCCTGTCTCGAAGTCTTACCTAGGCCCCGGCCACCTTGGGCCGGCGACACCCTGGCAGGCCTCCTAAGCCTGGCTTTGTTCTGCTCACCTGGGCTCCAGCTGCACCCGGTTTTGCTTGCAGGTGTTTTCTTTGCACACCTGGGGGAGACTTTAGGTCTCTGCCAAATCGTCCCCTGGTAAGAGATTTGGGTTATGTGAGCCCTTCGAAACAGGTGCTGTCGGTGTGCTTCCTGTGTGCAGGGACAGGTCAGGGCCACTTAGTGTGAACCTTCCAGCAGAGTTTAGTGCCCGCAACTCAACCAGGCCCGGATCCTCAGCTTGGGGGTGAAGCCTTCTGTTTTTTAATACCTGGTGGCTGAGTCAACAGCATGGGGACCAGTGTTTGGATAGCAAACACCTAGCAGCGGCCCAGACCCACCCACAGCCACCCTCCTCCTGCCCTGCTGCTGGAAAGGTCAGCCAGGTCTGGCTCCGTAATTTTCAGGGCCAGGTGACCAAACACCCTATGTTTGAAAATGAGTAGGAGAGTCTTGCCGAACATGAGACCAGGAACAAGTCCTTCCGAGTGTAGAGCCCAGATGGTGGCATAGACAGCCAGAGGCATGGCCACGCAGATGGGCCTCTCTCTGGTAGGAGAGGAGGTTGACCTCCCCATGAATAGCTTTGTTTCTCTCTCTCTCTCTCTCTCTCTCTCTCTCTCTCTCTCTCTCTCTCTCTCTCTCTCTGCATTGGTGTTCTGCCATGGGTGTCAGGTCCCCTGGAATTACAGACAGTTGTGAGCTGCCATGTGGGTATTGGGAATTGAACCTGGGTCCTTTGGAAGAACAGTCAGTGCTCTTAACCACTGAGCTCTCTCTCCAGCCCTGAAACTTGCATTTCAAAAGGGAACGAACTCCAACTTCTCCTTCCTCTTTTCTCTGTCTCTTTTCCACCTTTCTCTGTGAGCTCACAGAGTTTGAGACCTTCCTCCCTCCTCTCCCAGCTTCCTCTCCTGGCCTCTGCTTCCCCTCCTCCCCCTCGCCTGCCCACCCACCTCCTTCATTTCTTCTTCCTCTTTCCATTACTTTATCTAGGGGAAGCCCTTGACTGGATTGATGTGTAACATTTCCCAGCCATTCATCTGGATTTTAATGTTCTTTTCAGTGACACCAGGCTCCTTAGGTTTCCAGAGCCTCACTGAAGTGGCTGGAGTAATGTCTTCCTCACCAAGGGGCGTCCCTTCAGTGTCCTCTGGCTCTGGCCAGATGGTCTCTGCCCACTGGGAGCCCGGGATGAATTCTCATTGTTAGCCCTCGGTCCCTCGCCGTGTCCTCCCCACATTCTGCTGTCAACCCTACTGGCCACAGTGGAAAAAAAGCCTCTTCCATTCCCTGGTGACAGAACCAACCTGGCTTGCATTCTCGTTCACTGCTTCCTTGCAGGCTGTGCAGCTGGGGACTGAGCAGGGCACGGGAAAAAACTGAGGAGAGGAGCTGGGGTAGGGAGCTGGGGTACCGCCCTGGTCTCCCCTTGCGTTTTCACGCAGCAACCAGAAAAATCTTCAGAACAGGAGTGGTGGTGCAGACCTATAATGCCATCACTCGGGAGGTGGACGCAGGAGGATTGCCACAAGTTGGAAGTGAGTCAGGGTTTATGTGAGATTCAAAAAACAAAACTCACAAGAACACACGTTCATGGCAAGGCTGTGGTTGTAGCTGTGTGGGATGCTTGCCTAGGATATACAAGGCCCCATCCCTAGCACTGAAGGTTTAAATATGTGTGTGTAAGCGTATGTGACTTTTGCCTAAACTCTTCGCTGAGGATGGTATCCAAGCCCTCAGCATGACCTCACCGGTGCTGGCTTCTTCAGTGTCCCTGTCTCCCTCCAGCTCTTGTCCCCAGTTCCACACAACAGGGAACTGGCTTCCCTCTCGGAGAGGTGGCTTGTGTTCCCGAAAAGACACTTCTCCCATGCCTTGAAGAACACTGGCATCTGGGGAGGAGGAGATAGGGAGGCCATAGCATAAGCAAAGTGAGGGTAAGGGGCAGGCTGAAGGCATGGGAGGCTCTTGAGTGGCAGGAGGGGAGAGGGCGCTGGGTAAGTCAGTAGCCTGGCTCAGGATGACAGGCCTGGACCCTTGGGACAGGAGTCAGGGGTCTCGACTTTTCTTGTAGTTATTTGAAGGGTATTTCAAAGTTCCCAGGGGTCTGGGGTAGGCCCAACCTAGGCACTTGTGTGTATTCTCTTGGGTTCACTGGAAATCCCCCTAGTGAGGCTTGGGGAAGGTGGCCCAGTTGCTTCGGAACTTATCCATGGCCCCAGTGCATTGGGGTGGTGCCGACTGCATTGCCCAGGGGCACTGGGAGAGCTCTGAGCAGGGTAGAGTTCCCTAGAGAATGAGAGGGGAAGGCTGGGGCCTGATCACCACGGACTACCAGGACTACCACCGCTGGAAGGAGCTTGAGACTTGCCACCACCCTCCTGGAGGGGGATGAAGGCCGAGCTGCACTGTTACGCTGGGGATATACTCTCACCCGAGATACTACCCTTGAAGCGCCCAGGATCCCACAGGGCAAAGGGTCCAAAACAGTACGGAAAGAGGAACTCGGTGTCCATGCCGTGAGAGATGGGCCGTGAGAGACCAGGTGGCACCCCCAGGGAGGAAGCCTCTAAGGGCTTGGGATCACCCCAACAAGCCTAGCTGGCCGGTGTCTACATGCTGAGCTGAGCACCAGAGCTACCAAGCTGTGCCCGCATTGTGACTTCCCCTCTGCCTGCAGCAGCTGGGCTGGGCGGGCCCTGGACAGCTGGTGCCCTGGCAGGTCTGAGTGCCCCTGCCTATCCACCCCACTGTTTAGGCTATGTAGCGTGTTTTGATACCTGCCGTGCAGATGGGGAACACTGGTCTGCTTAACCCTGTTTGCGATCCGCAGTGGGCAGACGGGAGAAGAAACTAGAGCCCGGTCCTGCAGACCCAAGGGGCAGGTCGCAGCTTGCCCACGGGGTCTGATTACTCGGAAGGTTTTATTTTGAAATTGCCAAACTTGACTGACGAGGGAAGCACCCTCATGGATCCGGCACATTCGCTGTCCCTTGCTCCCTGTCGTGTGGTTCTCCTGAGCCATTTGAAACTGGATTGTGAGAGGCTTCACCCCCAAGTAGGAGCCAGGGTTTCCTACTTGGTATCACGATCGTAACTAGAAATCGTGGTTCCTTGGTGATACCTTAGTCCATGATGTCCCCCAATTTGAGTTTTCCCAGTTGTCCTCCAAAAATGTCATTCGTGCCTCGTTCCTGTCTGCGCGTTCCATCTGGTTTTCTCTCTTTGGCTTTTAATTCAGAACAGGCCCCCTGCTCTGTGTGTGGGGTGTGTATGTGTCACATTGGCTTTGAAGGGTCTATGCAAACCAGCTGTGTTATAGAACGGGCTCTGGATTTGCCAGATTGAATACCTTCGAGTTGTTTACCGTCCCAGAACTTCCCCGAACACGGCTTCAGAGTATCCAGGAAAATCATAAGGGGCGGGGCATCTATGGTTGGGGGCGTGGCATTTGTTCATGCCTCCCGCGAGTCATGAGATCTTCCCTCTGGCTTTAGTAACTTATTTATAACTGGCCTCAGCTGACTGTCAAGGTTATCTTGGTGGATCCACAGCAAACCTGGATGGCTGGCCGTGTGCTGTCTTCAATTCATGGATAGGAGTCTGAGAGGTTGAAGCTGTGCCCATACCCAGGCTATGAGGCAGCCGTGGACTAAGCCTCAGCCCTGTGGCACAAGCTGCAGGGGCAGCTGGGGACTGGATAGAGTCACCCAAGTCCAGCCCTGAGCCCAAGATTACGGAATGTAATCTAATGCAATCTAGCCGTGGTTTTGAGCTTTCCTGACGGAACCCAGGTGCTGGGGTCCCTACCCTGAATGGCCTCGTCAGGCCGTTCAGTCATTTTTCACTGTCAGCTCCCCGCACCCCTTCCACGCCTTTCTCCAACTTCTAGCCTGCACCTTGCACAAGCTGAGATCCAGGAAGTGAGATTAGCCACACCTGTTAGAGCAGAGTCCAAAGGTTCCCGGTCCAGGCTGTGTCTCCTGGCCTTTCTCTACTCCTTTGTCAGAACTTCGGAGTATGGGGAACAAGGCGCTAAGTATGCTTCAGTCTTTAAAGACAGGGACTACTGCGGTCCTAGCGCCATGGCTGGCGCGGACCTGTGTGCGAGCGTGAGGCCCAGTGAACCACAGCCTCTTGGGGCACTACGGCCATGATGAGAAGACAAGCTCTTTCTGGGGCTTGTGAGGAATCCCGGACCTCGAGCATACACGTGTGACAGCTAATCTTCTGCAGGTGTCATTGTGAGGTCTGCAGTGTTGTGAGTCCTTCCAGGCTGACATCCCTGTGCTCGGATCTCTAAGAGCGCATGCCTACACTGTAGGCTTTCCCCCAGCTGCTTCCTCCAGGCTCATCTTGTGTTTCCTGAGACTGGAGCCTCTGAGGTCCAGCCTTTCTTAGAGGCATGGGCAGTCCCTTTTGCTTCTCCTCCGGATATCCTAAGGTGTTGGAGGGAGTGACCACTTGCTTCCTGGCCGCCCGGCAGCTTAGACCTGAAAATAATCACACAGAAACTATATTAATTAAACCACTGCTTGGCCTATTAGCTCTAGCTTCTTATTGGCTAACTCTTACATATTAATTTAACCCATTTTTATTAATCTGTGTATCACCACGTGGCTGTGGCTTGCCTTTCGACCTGCGTCTATCTCCTGTGGCTCCCTGCATCTCTCTGACTCCGCCTTCTTTCTCCCTGCATTCAGTTTATTCTCCCCAGCGCCCCCTAGCTAAGTTCGGCCCTGCTGCAGGTCCAAAGCAGTTTCTTTATTCATTAATAAAAATCACAGCACACAGAGGGAAATCCCATATCACCAAGGAGTTAAGAGTAATCTTGATTTGATTCAAAACTAACCCCTTTACAAGTCTTTTCCTCTGCTTCTTTTCCTTCTTTCTTTCCGTCCATCCTTCTTTCCTTCCTTCCTTTCTTTTATCCCCCCTTGGACAGGGTCTCCTGTAGCCCAGGCTGCCGCCACCTGCTCTACTTTCCAAGTGCCGAGATTACACGTTTGCACCATCACTTTCCAGGTTTTTTGTTTGGTTATTTTTTTTTCCAGACAGGGTTTCTCTGTGTAGCCCCGAATGTTCTGAAACTCACTCTGTATACCATGCCAGCCTCGAACTTGTAGAGATCTGCCTGCCTCTGTCTCCTGAGTGCTGGAATTAAAGGTGTGTGCCACGATGCCCGACTCCAGGCTTGTTTTAATCAAAGCACTGCACCGGCATTCGTGTTTACATCAAACCTGTGTGGGCTTAGGAAGAACCAAGCTGTGTCAGATGCCTTCCTGTTGCCCCCCCTCACCCCTGCCTGCAGCTCCCCTTCACCCCAGCCTGCAGCTCCTCCTCTGGATTCCTGCCCCATCGTCTTGTAGATGAGGTCTCCCCACAACGTCCCATCACGTTCTCCTTCTCTCTGCTGTATCACTTGTGGGGTCAGTACTGCTCACTGCTGAACTGAGTACCAAGCAGTGCTGGACTTCATTGATTCTTTCAAAAAAGGATTAAGGGACTGCAGAGACCGCTCAGGGGCCAAAAGCGCTGGCTGCGCTCTCAGAGGACCCTAGTTCGGTTCCCAGCACCCACATGGCATGTCACACCTGTCTGTAGCTACAGTTCCAGGAGTCTGATGCCCTCCTGTTCTCTGAGGGCACTTTTGACAATTATTTTATTATTTTTCACATATGGTGCAAATCGCCCATTCATGGAAAAAAAAATAAAACCATGGTAAAGAGTGTTAATTATGGTCTCTGCAGGTCTCACCAAGTGACTTTTTTCTGTCCCTGCCTCAGATTTCTCCCAGAACACCAAGAGGTTGGGAACCATCTGTGTGTGTGGTGTTTTCTCTGTCACCTCAGCAATGGTTGTTTTCATTCCCAGGCACTGGTGCTGGTGTGGCGTGTCAGCAAGATTCCTTAGAACCTTCTCAAAACAAACGAGAGCTTTGTTGGTTTTTAATTATTTATTGTGTGTATGCATGTGGTGTGTGTGTACTCATGCAATTGCGTAGGCCAGAGACCATCAGGTGTCCCTCTTCGCCGCTGTCCACCTTGTTTCCTCGGCAGCGTTACTCCCTGAGCCTGCATCAAGCCTGGCAGCCAGCAGGCTCCAGTGATCTTTTCTCCGTCCCCCTCGCCCCAGCATGGGTCACGGGTACAGGTTACCAGCCCCAGCTTCCTGTGTAGGTTCTGAGGTTTAAGTCAGGTCCTCATGCTGGCACAGCCAGTAAGTACTCTTACCCACTGGGCCATCTCCCCAGTTCTGTTTTCGTTTGTTTTTTTGAGACAGGGTCTCACTTGTAGCCCAGGCTAGCCTGAACTCATTGTGTAGCCAAGGATGGCCTTGACACATCAGTCCTCCTTTCTCTAATTCTGAAATGCTGGGATTCATCCTATATATGAAAATACAGCTTGCTTTGCTGTTTAGCATGCTGTTTAATAAAATGATTCTGTGCTCTCCTAGTGCCTTTCCTAGGGGCCCACCCCTCCTTGCTCTCGGTCTCGCCCAACTTCACTGTAGTATAACTGGCAGTTTCCTCATTTGTTGCCTCTTCTTGCTCACTATCACCCCAGGAGTGTATGGGCGCTGGCTAGCACACTGTAGGCGCTCATCAGTTATATGCCAGCATTTGCATATCATATCAAAGTACAAGACAGAGCTCAGGCTGTGACTCCATCAAGTTTCCGCCCCGTGAGCCTGGATGATGGTCCAGAAAGGGTTTGTTTCCCTGGTCTGGTTTCATTCCACCCCCACACCATTGGCGTCTGCACAGAGTGCTCAGTAGAGAGAGCGAGCCTTGCTCAATCAGTCAATCAATCAATAAGCCAGTCAGTTTGCTCCTGCTGCCTCTCCACTCCCAGCACTTTTCAATACCCAGCATTAGCATGATCCGAAGGGAAAACAGCCATTGTGTAAAGGTGACCCCGTTCCAGGTTTATGACTCATTGGATCCTGGAAGATAGGAGGAGGGAGACAAGACAAGAAGAAGGGGAGCCAGGGACACTCACCTGCCATCTCTGAGGACAGTTGGGGAGCCATTTGGTCACCATTGTGTGAACATTGTCTCACTCTGGTGCTGGACATCAGCCCAGGCACTGCCCAGTGCATGACAGTGGCCAGCTGCAAGAAAGAGGGAGGTTCCAATCCAAGCCCAGGGCAGCCAGGCTTCCTCCCTTCTACCAAGAATGGGTTCTGGCTGTGTTGCCCAGACTGGCCTTGAGTTCCTGTGCTAAATAAAGCAAAGCTTCTGCCTCAGCCTTCCAAGTAACTGGGACTTACACACTGTTCGCCCACCCGGCAGGGTGTTCTCTATTCTTTCTAAGGGTCTTGGGCCTTGAATGACTCAGCAAAGTGTAGCTCTCTCATGGTGTATGAAGAAGCAAGCCTCTGCCCACAGTGCCTCCTCCATCCGAGAGACGCCAACCCAACGGTTGGTGTCCAGTGTCGAGAACCGCCTGCCCCACCCTCTCAGTCTCCTGGACCAAGGCCCAGCCTGATCAGCTGGGGACCAGGACTGTTTCTCAGTCATTTCCACACAGTTACCCTGTTCAGGGCACCTCGCTGTGCTACCTGACAGCTGGCGCAGGTAGACAGGACCCCCAGGCCCTCCTCCTGTGTGCCCCTGTACCCTGGCACAGTGCTCACAGATACCCAGCAGGGCTGCCCAGGAGGGCATCTCACTCCCCCCCCCACTCACCCAGAATGCTATGGTGACTGCAGCCAGGGCCCAGGCTGAGGGCAGGGCAGGCCCGACCAACCCTGCACTAGCACTGATAGCTGCTGGGCCTGAGGGAGCATTTGGGGTGTGCTGTGAGTTTGGGGGAGCCTTTACAGTGCTCTTCTTTCCCCGGTGGAATGGAATGTGTTCTCACACTTTGAGAAATTAACTTGTAGCTCTCGGCCTCTCCACCCCCAGGAAGGAGGGAAGGAGAAAAGAAGAAAGGGTTGGCATTGTCCCCGTGATTGGCACCTCGTGTGAATGAGGGGTCACCGCTTCGGGCTGCTCTTTTTCAAGCGCTCCTCTCTCTCCTGCACGCTGCATTCACGCTGGAACATTCTTTCTTTAAAGCTTGTGTCTTTTTCTCCCCCCCCCCCCCCCCCC